TTCGAATGATGAAGATGCTTTCATGCTTCCAAGTTTACTAGGCTTAAAAGTCTTACTGGTACTGTAAGAACTGTGAGAAACTTAACGCTATTTTGGAAATTACTAGAGGTTTAATGTTTAGAGCAAGACTGTAATACCAATACCAGTCTCGCTCATCACTAGCTACGAAACATTACGAATTACACATTGAGAAACTTGCCTAGATTTTATTAATTTTCTCTGAAAGGCTCATGCCGTGCATCCACGGAGAGTTATTTGCAGATAAACGTCAGCGTTACGGTGCATTTGTGGTTAAGTTTTAAATTGTGCTCTTCAAAAAGTAAAACATACACCGCTGTTTAAAACCCGTATAAGTAGTTTGCCATAAGTATTTACTTAATGTTGGAGAGTTCTTGGACATCGTTTGGAGGTTTCTAAGATGTTAGTGTGCAGAATTTGTAAACCATTCTTTCTGCCCGATTTAAATATAGGTACCCATGCATGTTTGGATTTGATAAAGAATGATGCCATTTATCTTTATGTTGTGGCAAATATAAATCATGTATAAAGCCATCAAATTCATTTTGAAACTGGAATCATTCATATATGAATACTTATTCTATTTCTTGTGGACATTTATTTAAAAGTAGCTAACTTAAACTTAGGGATTGTTTCGGCCTCCAATGGTGCTTCGAAGGTTTCGATGGTGCTGCGAAGCTTCCAATGGTGCTCGGTGCAATTGAAATTGAAAAATGTGCCAGTGCAGCTATTCACAGCAGATTCACTCCACGGATAATGGATAAGTACATTTGAAACTTAAAGTTTCAAAGTATGCTTGATTGAAACAACCAATAGCTTAAAAGAATAGTTCATCAAATCTCAGCGGGTATAGAAAATATAAAATGAACGAGGCAAAAATATTTAACAATTTAATGTTACTTCGCAAATGATTAAAAAAGAAAGGGACTTCGTATAGTCAACTTGCATAGCAGTTTGTTTCTTTATACTACATCAAGTGCAAGTACAATTCAAATTACCATGGAATGTACAACGGATCTGAAACTGTTTCTTGATCATTGGATTTATTAAAGATGCAAACCGTTGCAAACGTACACTTGAAACGTATTTATAATAATATCTTGCAAAAATGTAAGACACTTTGAATAAAACTGTTCAGGTAAGAAAACACTTTTCACTACTCATGTATTATGAGAAAGTATTGTATTAAGTGCTGTACCTGAGTGATATGATTATTAAAGTACTACCTACTAAAACTGTATAGGTTCTGCGAGGCGAATTTTCTTTAAAGAATAAAGTCTGAACACTTTAAGAGTTAAGCAGACTGCAATCACAGGCAATCCCTGAAGAAAAACAGATAAAATCTTCTAGCTCGCAAATGTAAAATCTTCTAGCCCGCAAATGTTTTATTATAATAAATTCATTCAGCTCTGTTAATGTATACATTCCTTTACTAAAAATAGAAAATACTCCCTGTTTAATTCTTAAAGAAAACCAGTTTTCCAGGTAACATAAAAATAACAAAAGCAACATTTTATCGCCGTTATATTTACTGTAAACATTTGATATTAACGTTTTCGATATATTGGTCATTCAAACGAATCATCGAACCCGACATGGTATACCTACATTATTGCATTTTCTAAATATAAACAAGTGTTCAATTGGAAATTAGTTTCTTCGTGATGTTTTGAAGCTTGAAGTCTTGCATCTTAAGTGGTAGTCCAATTCAAGTTTTTGAACGGAACACTTCTGACGGTGAAAGCTACTCGTACTTGCGCAACGTAAGTACTAAATTCTTTGACGGGGCAAAATTCCGAAAAACTAGTTTCAAGCAATGTTTTTAATTTATTTGACTAAACAATTGTGCTTTCACATCAACCATTCGCTTTTATTGGTTTGTGCATTGTTATTCTCAGTTGAATGTTTGCTTCTTCTTTTTTTTGTAGATTGATGAAATTGTCAGAGAACACTGAGGAAATTTCTTAATAAATTGCTTTAAAAAGATATTGAAAATGCGCAATAGTATTTCGCAAACATAAAACAATCGGTAGAATCGAATAGAATAAAATAGATAATGTATGTATATAGTTTCAGAACACTCTTTGCTGGGGGCGCACTCTACACGTAGTGATCTATGCATCAGCCAGTGATTAAAAAAGTTATAGGTATTCAATAAATAATCCGATAAGTTACGATTGGATTTAAAAATCATGCTTCTATCGACACCCACAAAAATAACAGAAATGCGCCAATTTTCATATTAATGAAATTATTAAAGAATTTTTTTTTAACTTGTCAGTAACAAACTAAATTGTGGCGTATAGCATTATTGACTTGAAGATTTAATGAACTTCTTAATATCTTTTTTATCTGCTTCGGCAGACTTATTGCCTTCTGCAAGTTGGACTAAGCCACATCGCACGTAAAATAAGTAGACATTTTCACTATTAGCTAGATATAAATGGAGTGATTTTGCTCTATAACTATATATATCCAACTATTCAAAATTATTATTAAAACGAGGGCTAAATAAGTGTTATTAGGTTAAATCAGCCAGTGTTATTCTAAGAAAAATTAGTCACAATACTTAAATTAGCCAGTTTTGTTCTAAGCAAAATGGGCTTTAGCTATAAAGAATTTATTTTGTCTTTCTTCAGTTTCTAATTGACAGTTCTTATGTGGTATATATTTTTGATTCTTGAAAGAATCTGCCGCCCGAAATAATATTTCATTTTGTATGTTTTAAAACTAAAGCGATTGTAAAAATGTGGCCGAGGTGTCATGCTGCCTCGGTTCAAGAAATATGAAATTAGGTTCTACTTAAATTTATTAAAAAGTGTTCATGAAAATTTTACTCCACAATATAATTCTTTTAAAATTGTTTGTATTCGCTTCAGTTTGACAAATAACTATATCATTTTTAGGTCTATTAAGTATTTGCAGCTAACAGTTTACTGTATGTGATTTGAGCAAGGACTTTCTACTGAAAGCAGCAAAATTAGTTTGTCTAGAAAAGTAATTTCAAGCGTTCTGTTTCGAAATACAGTTGCATAAAGAGCGACTGATTTGGCAACCAAGTTTAGAGACCAAATCAATTTGATTGAACAAAATATTTACTGGTTCTTGTGACGAAAGTACGAACAGGGGAGGCATAGCTCGAGAATAGCTCTGTTTCTTTTTTTGGAAGAAAACTAGAATTTACAACATGCATTTCCACATTTTTGAAGAATTATTGGCAATGGTTCAAAAATAAAATTGGCCTTTGTCAAAATTAAAATCTGCAGCTGCAGATGGCGGGAACAACAAGAGCTTCGAAGTTTTTCTGTAGAGAAAAGAAACGAGACCAACATTCATCATAACTCTGTATCATACCTAGGTCTTACCCATAGGTAGATGTAAAAGGTATTTTTTGGGTGAAAGTTTTTGGTAAAAGGAAATTTTTCCTCAACTTTACAAATCTTTGAGGCATAAATTAGCGAAAAATACCTTCTTTTTTAAGTGAAGTATAAATCAATGTTTATGTTTAACTGTTCATTAATTATCATGCTGTAAGATTCCAAAATAATTTCGGAATTTAAATGCAAGAAATATGTCAGCTTTTAGCAACCAAAAAATAAGACATAGGCAGAAAAGGGGCAAAAGATGCCCTGGTGCACTTACCGATATGAACCAGCATTAAATCAGTTTAGGAAAGTTTAGATAAAACTGTGTTGTGTTACAAAAATTATTTAGAAAAAGTTTTCAGTTTTGTTTGTAGATTTTAAATCCTTGGAACACTAATCTCTTTCATTCTACTGTAAAATATACAGAATATCCACTATGCACATGATCAAAGATCATATACCCTAACTTCCATTAAGAGAAAATGTCGGATTCTCTGTTATTGATGGTAAAGATTCTTCAAACAAATCATGTTTTTGAAACTCGCTGTGAATTTGTTCCTATGTCAGACTCATGTTTTGACGAAGCAACCGAGTTCATCCGTTTTGAGCAAGTGCGGAATTCTTAAGTCTCTTCGTACAAAAACTTCCAGTACTTTTTGTTTAGTGGCTGAAATGCATTAAAGCTATTTGAACATTAAAGGGCTTTTTGTAAAATCTTGTCGTATCCACCTAGGAACAAATCCACAGCAAGTTTCATTTAAATCCACCTGAGCACTTTCGCGATAGGTATAGCAAATAACTTAATTAGTTTTGTTAATGTAAAAATTAATTAATAGGCATCTAAAATTATCCGTTGGCCAAAGAAGAGAAATATTTTTTTTTGCGCAAAATCTATTAATGACACAGAACTTTTCAAGGAGGAAAAAAATGTCAGAAGAGGCTTAGTTTATTAACTCAAAAAAAATTAGATGATTTCATAGTGCCAATAAAAAGTTCTGGCAGTTTTTGCACCAAGACGCTCAAGAATTAGGTAGGTACTCACTTGCCCACAGCAGATAAACTCGGTTGCTCCATTAAAAAAAATCGAGGAACCAGACATTTTTTCTTAGTAAAAGTTACGTAGTAGTAATAGGTACCTACCCTTTTAAACATGTGCTTACGGGACACCCGTATTATTAATATTCAGTGCAATTTCTATTTGAAGCATGCGTGCCTTAGTTTTACAGATAATCACCTTTCAAATTGGAAAAGAAAAGAACATTCGCATATGAAGTGATTTCCATGGCTTGGGAAAAAGATTAATTTATGAAAGGAAATAAATCGGATTCAGAATTAGCGATATTCAGACTGATTCAGTGTTAAACACTGCCTTGAAAGCAGTTGTTTACGCTAAAATTCCACAAGAAATATTTCTCCCGACATACAGAATATGGTAGCAAATACACGATGCCCAGTGTAAGGCAGAAAACGTGAAATTATATATTTAGATGTATTTCTATAGTGCGATTCAATAAATATGTAAGTTTTTGCCACACACCTAAAATCGACCAATTTTCTTTTGGATCAGATCAGTTTCAGTTTGACCCGCCGAAAGGGTATCAGGTGGGCAAAGTTGATATTCATGCGGAGTTTTCCATCATTTTTTCGTGATTTTCAACCCATCTTATTTCGATCCAGCAGACTATCCATAAATCGTCGTTTATCGAGTTTGCAAAAAACCGGCAATTCACTTTCCTTGTCTCGCTCGCGCCACGCGTTTCTTTGGTGCATTGTTTCGATGGCAGTAGGCGGCGTTACGCTGCGAAGACGCCCGAAGCAATCGCGAAGTTGCTTTTGCCTCGTTTCGACAATGCTGCCACAGTCGGCAATCGCGGTCCCTGCTACGAGTAGCAAGCGATGTTTTCCGGGCGTTGAAAAAACCGCACAAGACATCGGCCCAGATATAAGCAAAAAAAGTTTCTCTTTTTACCGCGTGCTGAGTGTGAAAGGGCTTTTTGTGCGTCAATATACCCCGTTTTTGTGCATCGGCAAATAATGGATCGTTTCTTGCGACTTAAAAGTGTCAATGCGTCCGGCAGTTAAGTGATTTTGCCTGTGGAAAAGCTGCAGTTGAACGCCTGCTGACTTTTGCTACCAACCCAGACATTCCAAAACTTGTTCCTCGGCCTTCAGTACCCTAAAGTACAAATTGGTCGTAGCACCTGTATTTAGATATTAATCCTGCAAGTTTTGCGATTTTACCATTGTGGAATTTGAATAACGTTGCCAAAAATTCAAGAAAAACCTCGAGAATATCCTTACAGCTGATAAAAGAAACGACCAAATCTAGGCAGGTGATAAGAAAGGAGTTTCATCAAATTCTGCAGGAGTAAGATCGACGGCCGTAGCCGGTCGTTTACGGCTCTCAACTTCGGGGTGCTTAACTGATTTGTTTGTGCGTTTTGGATTTTAGTTTTTGTCAAAGTGAGTGACAAAAGTAGAGACCAAGGTAAAAACCCAATGCTAATTAAATAGTTGTTTTTTTTATCAATTTATAACCAATCGTTTTGAAAGCGTTCTAAAGTCGATGGAAAAAACTTGTTAAATTTTGCTGATACCCTAGAAAATTGATAATGTTTGCTATTAACCTGACAACCGGGTATTTAACAATGAATATATGGGCTTTTTTCAACAAACTTTGCAATTAGCACGCTCTGACCGATAGGGCAAAGCCTACTAAGCGATTAAAAAGTCGAACGCTTATTGGTGAAACCGAACTACGAATGTAAAACAATGGAGGCGTACAGTAATTAAATGTAATTAGCTACTTCAATTAACCGTAAAAACTGATATGTACTTCTGTTTATTTTTTGTTTCTTTAATGACTGGGTTTAAGTACTGCTAGTAGGTTACTATCTGGTAGAAATTTACAACGCATTTTCCCGTGTCTGATTAACAGCTGGGTTACAAGTGTCGACTAGTAACAAAGATTTATTCATTTCTATAAAACAAAAACATGCATCACAATGCATTAAGAGCCTATAAATGGATTGCATCAGAGTTTTGTTCTTTGTTTAGGCTTTCCTTTTAACTTTCAAGCAGCAGAGTCAAAAACTCCAGTTTAATGCAAGGCATTTAAGTTCAAGGTATCGAAAAGATTTTTTTCGTTTTCAAAACATTTTAGAAGTTGTTTCTAAACCAATTTTTTGCTCTTCCTGATTCTTATAGCAGTAAATATGTATAAATAAAGTGTTACTTAATTCCTCTCCAAAACAATAATTCACAAATAATTAACCACTTCATTTATATTTATTTATTGAACGCATCAATTTGAGTTGATACATAGGTAATATTGCTTTAATGTGATTTTTTGATTAGAAAGTGTCACTAAAGTATGGATCTTAGCGTAAAGCTATAACAACTATTTACTATAGGATTTATTTTCTTACTCGAGGGTTTGATACATTTTCAAATTAATAAAGGTTTTTTCGTCATTTAAAAAAAATTAAGGCAATTGTGAATATGGATAGAGAATAGCAAGAAAATAGAACTGTGGCGACAGTTTCGAAAAGTCATATGAGCCAATGAGCGTTGAAGGAAAGATAAAGAACCCTAACCAATAAAGGAAGTATAAAACACTTAGTAAACTTGTTGGTTTAAAAGGCAAAATATTTTGACTAAAAGAAAAATAGGAATACTATTTGCTCATGCTTGTCAGGTCGTCTTGTAAAGTTTCCTAAACACGAAAACTAAAATCACAATGACGAAATCGTTGTTAGGAAAATTACTTTTTTTAATTAAAAATGTTTTTAAAAGTAGAGGAATAGAATAGAACATGCATTTTTACATTAATACGTTATTATAATACAGTACTGGAGAAATTTCTTTGTCTGCTAAACAGTACCTACGTACCTACTTCTTAGAAACTCAACTAAATCCCAAATTGCGTTTTATGAATTATTCAGTGGAAGTTAGGAAGTGGACGTCTGCCTCTATTCTTTATAAATTTTTCATCTTTTTGTTGCCTATTATCTTTTTCTTCTACCCATATTCTTGACTCAAATTGATCCAAACCTCTATTCTTTATAAGCAAAGTTATTTGAATTTTTTTCTCTTCTTGTTGCCTCTTATCTTTTTCTTCTACCGATCTTCTTGGCTCAAATTGCTCCAAACCTGAGCGTATGTATAAAAGTGAGAAATGGAAACGCCAACATTCGTTTGACACAAATTTTAATTCATGGGCGTCTTTAAGTTCAAGGGCCCAAACAATTATGGATCTGATTTGAAATGTTTTTATTGTGGAAGTACCTACATAAGTATGTGCTTAATGAGGAAAATGGCTCAAAATACAGAGCTTCTCATTCATTTAGGCTGGTTTTTCTCCAAGTTTCTTACAATATAACGTCACCATCATAATCGTTAAACATGAACGGATTTTAAAACTCGGATCAAGACAATATTTTCAGTCGAAAATCGTATATGAGCGCTCGACATATTTGTAGATATTTGTTTTATTTTCGCTGTATACTAAATACCTATGCAGACTCGGATAGATTTAAAAATTGGTAGAAATTTAGCTCTATTTATATACAATATGGCAGTTCAATTTTTTCTCACTATCAGTAAAATAATACTGAAGTCGCTAACAGCAAACTGCAAACTTTTTGATTTTAGTAGATTTGGCTCCGATTTCTGTGCCTTGTTGCTTCAATATATTGTCTTGAAAACGACCAATTAACTTGCAATAATTTTTAAACTATGCTGCTGCAGTGCAAATATTTAATAATTAAGTTATTCAATTTTTGGTAGTTTGGAAATGTAATATCGTGTAAACGTGTATCTGTAAAAGTTAAAGATTTTTTGTTATCATTTTTTAGCTAATTTATAAAAGATAGCATTTCAGGATAAGTCGCGAGTCTAATCTAAGTCTAAGAACCATGTAATCATGTTGATTTGCAGTTTTCCTAAACTAACTAACTTTTAATAAGATTTTTTTCCGAATATTCTTAGATTCATTCGGAATAATGTTAAAAAGTATGAGAAATATTTGCCTTATGTAAAGAAAAAGTTGATTAACATTGGTTATTAGGATATGTGATCAATTGTCCTGATTTTTTCTATATCAGTGTTTGTTCCTGGGCATTCCGGGCATTTTAGTAACGTAAAGTTACTTCGCTCGTTACATGAAACCAGTCGGTACTTGTCCTAATTTGGAAGCACTGTCTAGGTTATAGTTCACATTCATGCCACAGCTTATTCTTCAAATTTTGATGGGGAATATCGAAAATTGTGCTTGATTTCATAACTGATAAAACGGTTTTTATTAGGTTTTGAAAAGGTTTAGCTAGAGTTTGATAGTAGTAAGGTCTTATAGTTATTTAATCCAAAGAGAACGAATTAGATTAGTTTTGGTTTCGTTGTATAGTAATTATATTTGATTAAATCAATTTGCAGTTTAGAAAAAACAGCAAAGCTTTTCATTAACATTTTTAATTAAGTTCGTATCATGTGTAATTGGAAATCAAGAAAATTGCTTTTATTAAGTTTACAAGATCTTATTGATAATAGAAAGGAAATTAACTAAAATAGAAGTTTTATCTAAAATTTAAGCAAATTGGCAATGCCATTCGCAAAAGTAATACGACTCTCATGAACCATCAAGAACGGCTTCAGTAAACGAGAAAATATCTATTAATATCATAAGCCGATAAAGTCAGCATTTTATTGTGTATTTCATCAAGTCTGTATTTTCAAATTTTCTGGTGTCTTGAAAGATCTGCCACATTAATTTATTCTTGAATACACTTGAGCAAACGTGATATTTTCGTTAGGTTTCCCATTCTCATGTCTGCTCATTTTCAGATATTGAGTACCGAACTCACTTTGGTTTATAATTTGCTGTGTGGTATACTACCTGCTCCAATGTATCTAGTTTTAGTTCACTTTTAGATTAATTATCACAGTTATATTGGTTTTGTTTTTCTGCTTTTATCACGATAGATAATGAAAGGGAAGGAATATTAAATCAGTAATGTAGGTATCTACTGTTGTTGCTCTGAAACAGTTATCATTGTGTCTGTGTTTCATACTTATGCTATTCGTTTCACGTAATTTGGTGTTAGGTAGCAGACGGATTGAATTATACTAATAGGTATGTTCACTAAACGCCACATGTTTCATTTACAAGCTTATGAATGACGTGATTTTTGTCTTTTGATTTAATTTGTGATAGCGAATTGTGTGTATTTATGCAAAATTCGCCCTGAAATTTTTAGTATACTTTTATTCCCTTATTATATTATATATGAATTTTTGCAAGGCGAAGTTTAAATTTTAAATAGTAATCACTTTTTTCCGCCTAACTGTATCAACCAGAATTTAATATAAAATAATTTTCCGTTCAAATTTACGTAAGAAAGGTATTATTGTTTGAAGTCGCCAAAACGCCGACGTTGTCGATATTTTTTCAAAAAACTTTTTAATTGCAAGTTAATGACAACAAAGTCGCAAATTTAAATTAAACATTTTATATTTCTAAAGTAAATTTTCAATGATTGGATATAGCATTGCTATAAGTCCCATAATTTAGAATGTTAAATTTGCCGTTAAATTTAATTAAAACTCCGTGTCTCAAAAACGAAGCCCTCTGCAATATATACTTTTATGTTTTTATCTTAAAATTGGACTAACCCTGTATATATCCGGTCGTGCCTGAATAGCTCAATATTTATATTCCTGCAAGTTTTTCTATAGCTGGGATAATTTTTTCAATTTTTTTGTTTACCAGATCGATCTTATTTTGCTCAATGAAGCAGATAGTTCTTAGCGAGAAGAATAGTTCTTAGCGAGTAAGAACTCCTAAGTAGCATATCTGGTGTGGAATACATACTTACATATGTACAAATCAGTTTGACTGAAATTTATTGCTTTTATGATTTACTTACGTATAGGACGTGACGGTAATCATAAATGCGAACTTCAGTTGCTTTGCAAAATTTTATAATTAAAGGAGATTAAGAATTTGAATAGAATATACCTATCTAATACTCCGGTGCATTTAATTACAGTTAATATGAATACGATAAAACGTATATATTATATCTAACAGGACAGAACAATATCATAAATCTAAATTTATAATTTTACTTATATTGCCAAACATACATACATAAATAAATATCTGCACGTAAGAGGTTATCTAACGGGTAGGCTACCTTGACAATCCGTGCAAGTTCAAAGCTAATGTCTATTTAACCCAAGCACTATATATTTTCGGTATTGATTATTGCTATTAATAGGCGATCAATTTATCTGATTGGTATATGAAATGTGATTTAAAAGGGCGGGTTTTCAGCTTGTTTGATCAAACCGAACTCTGCAATATTTTATGCAAAAATAATATGTTTTAAATTGTAAAGCATCTAAAATATTATCAATGATTTCTATGAACAGTTTGGCTAATTTATATAATAACTGACTTTCAAAAGATGACTTTACGGTTTGTTCTCG